GTCAGCGGGTGATGGGCAATTGTACTGTGCATCACTTGTTTTTCTTGAGTGTTACTTCTCTCTCTCTCTTTGTTATCTCCCTTTTTCATTACAATTAATATTATTATATTTTATTTTATTTCAATAATTAAACTGTTCTTCTCTCAACTCACGGATTTTACTTCTTCCCAATTCTCCTCCCCACCCTAAGCGGGGCAGGGGGAAGGACTGAACAAGCAGCTGCATGGTACTTAGTTGCTGGCTGGGATTAAACCACAACATGTGTGTCATCCATAAGAGATAAAAATTACTATATCTCCTTAACAGAAAGACTCTTGCCTATTATGTTCTTGGTTCTAAAGGTTTTCTATTTAATTCTCCACATCAGCCAAGAGTCACTACACTTATTATTGACTAAAGGCTTCACAACCTTATTTTTAAGGCAGATAACTATTTCTCCTCTTGCAGGATTAAGTCAAATTAGAGAACATGCAAGGCTAATTTAGATAAAGCTAGGACAAGACAGGTCAGAAGGTAAAACTATCACAATTCATTCTCAGGCACACTTCTAAAGTGACAATGGTAAATTCTGTGACTTCCATTTCTGTTTCAAAACCAGTTTTTCAGTTTTCAGGTAATTCTGTCCACAGAGTTCACAAGAAAGTTGAACCTAGCTACAAGGAACTAAGAACAGAACAGGTAAAGATTTTCAGGGAACATACAAAAATAAGTGCAGAAAGCTAAAAATTGGAAGAGAAACAAGGGAACTCTCAGGTTTCAAAGAAGCAGCACAGCAAGTTGAACAAGATCAAATTAGAGGAGATCTGTAACGCAGAGATTAGACGCACCTTGAATTTTACTAGCTAGTCATTCTGAATGAAGTAGAGAAAATTTCAAAATTTGAGAAGTTCAGAAAAAAGTTACATTAACCAAAGCTCAAGTGAATTAAGCACTAGAGTTTCAGAAGTGTAACAAAAGATTGGAAAGAAAGGAGCAGTAACATTCAATATTCTTGAGAATATCATGTTCAATTGCTACACCGTATGTGCAGGAGTCTATTATATTCTTCTGTAGAACCAAAAGGTGAAATAACAGCTGTCCTCCATTCAAAAACATAAAACACATATATCCGTCCAGAACAGAAGCAGACACTACTGCATATTGTCCTGGAAGAAAGAGTGCATATGCATGTAGAGAAGGAATAGCCTGAAAAAGAAGGGTTGAATTAGCTAAAGGCATTTCTTTGAAACAAATTAATTTGTAAAAGAAACATAACTCCATCACCATTATTTTCTCATGAATGCATAACTTACAAGAGAGGCCAAAAGATGTAGCAACATAGAAGAAAAGGAAGTGTTCAGCCCTTGCCTTTCTTAACTCCAGGCTTTTCCTGCCCTCCCCCACCAAAAATAGAGTGAATTAAAAAAATACATATTACTACATTTTAATAAATATTCGCTGAAGTATTGCAAAAAATGTTGCGAAACAATCTGAAATGCAATTTCATACCTGCAATCATCTATTTGCACTAGAAATCGTACTATATCTTGATGACCTTTCAACACAAGGAGCTCCGTGTAAGGATTCTGTATTTGTTCTTCACCAATTGTCTGTACAGATGATTTCTAAAATTCATAAAAAAGGAATTAAATTCATTTTATACTGACAAAATTATTTTCAGCAGGTCTTTGTAACATCTAACAATCTACATTTAGACTCACGTGTCAATGTAGTTATATTTGAAATTAAATTAAGTTTCTGAAATATCATGTCATCTTAATGAAAATTACAATCACTTCTTATCACTTCCAGTAAATAGTATCTTTCTATAGCAGGTATTTTAAATTATAATACAGTATTTTCTGTTTAACAAAAACATTTTGTACTGCTTTAATCACTGATACACCAAGACGAAAACCCAGTTTAGTCATGAGCTGTCATGTGGAGCCAGCTTCATGACTCAATTCACCATACATTCAGTTTTTCATTAAATTACACCTCTTCCAAGAGGTCTGGACCTCTCATATCTTTCATCTACCGTTCAATTTTAAAATCCTATACAAAGACAACATATTTAAAATAAATAAGAATAAACGCTGTTCTGTTACATAACATATAAGTCATCCATTGGGACTCTATTCACAAAATACCAAAGCAAACTGCTTAAAAAAAAAACCATAGAGAACGATTAATCATTTTCTAGAACAATCAATCACTCAGAACAAGCTGATCATCAGGCAGGGTCAATAAAATATTGCATAGCACTGCAGTTTCAAAGCACAATAGTTCTGATCTCAATCATCAGTTTGTTTTCATAGAAGACAACTTTTTTTGTATTTAAGGTCTTCCACATTTGGGAACAACTTTCTATTAGACATTATTAAAAAAAAATCCAAACAGCTCAGTAGTAACTCAGCGGCAGCATTCTTCTCCTTCTAGATTTATTTTACACAACAGTCAACATTATCTTACTTCCAGGATTGTCTCTTCTTTGAGGACTTCAATAGAACCTGTTACTGTAAAACTGTAATTACTGAACACTGTACAACACACCACATACACGACAGGTAATCCCATGTGAAAGACAAACATATTATCCTCTTGTACATTTACATTTTCTTGCAGGAATTATAAATTATTTTCTATTACTTCCATATTGGTACTATAATACTATTCTTCAGAAGTTAAGAACGACAAAGTTAATAAACAGGGAAAGAAATCTCTGTTTATTTTTAAAATGAAAAGGTTGTCAAAATGCTAGTTCTTGTGATTTTATCTTGGTTTTATGCCATCTGATGCATTTCATGAAGCAACTGTTCCTCATTTTATGCAATTATGTGAGAATAGCAGTTCCCATTTAAAATAATGCCAAGTAGAGTCTGCACAGTTATAAAGAAAAGTTGGAGAAATATGGACACTTTGAGTGTGGCTGTGAAAAGCTGATCAAAACTACTTTAAAACAAAGAATTGAGAGTTCTAAAAATCGTAAGCAAATCTCAGCAACACTGGATGACATCAGCAATACTGTACTCAGAAGACTTCCCTTTTTATTTACCAACAGAAACATATATTCACAACAATTGTAACACTGCTTTGAAGAAGTCAGAATTTGTAACATTAACATCCCAATTCTACATGCTGTTGTTGCTTCCTATTCAGTACAAGACAGTGCTACTTCTTTTGAACAATGTGCCTAATCTTATTTTTTCTTAATTCTAAGAATGCCTGTGAATACAGAAAGGTATAGATGAAGTACTATAGATAACAACGAAATAACAGTTTTTCCCCCCAGTACTGTCATACAACAAGCTATGCTCTCTTAAGATCTTCATTGATATTTACCCAAGTGTTGGGTTACATGTGCATTCTTTCTCTGAGGAAATCTATTTTCAGTACAAACTATTGACTGAACTGTCCTCTAGCAACACCAAGTTTTTAGATGAGAAAGCTAGATGCTGATACTAATGGCATCTATTCCCAACTTGCATGTTTTTATGTAGGACCTGTAAGCATCACTACAATAATCAGTAAAAAACCCACACCAGTCATCTCAGCTTCAGAACTTCCTATAACTCCTGGGATCTGAAGCATTTAAAAGTGGGATTTTCAAAAGTAATTCACCAAAAATATGGATACAAGAGTACATGGACATACTTATGTACGTATCATGGAGCCTGACAAATTATCTTATACGGACCACGATGCTACTGCAGTTAAGACTGCTCCCATTACCAGAGCCATGCTGCTTAAGACATACACCATGGCCATCAACTGAGAGATTTACGAGCTTAAGTCTAAATGATTTTAAATTCCATAGTAAAAAAAAGAAATTAGTACAGAAAAATTTATGTTTCACACACTTATGACAGCTTTGCCAGAGGCTTTCTCTATTCACCCGGCACAACATCACTCTAATAGATCCAGCCTTTTCATGACTGGTTGAAGCCAAGCACATGAAACAAACACCTTAGGTCCATAGCCCACAAACTGCTATGGGCTTCCTTAGCGATTTAAGAGGAGTATAAAGAGAATTAATAGTTACGAAGATATTTTAGATGAAATACTATTACACAATGCAGGAAAAAAGAACAAAAATAACTCAGGGACTAACCCTTACCAGTACTTGCTATTCAGTTTTTCCACAGAGAAGCAAAATGATCACCACCATTCAGCAAACCAGTGGTAACAATGGGAACAGAAGTCCTGTGGATCGGCTTTAACGAATCTATGAATGGCAGAACAGAAGAACTGCACCACACCTTGGACTCATGCTTTATTAAATCAAGTACAACTAAACCATGGCCAGAGTTTGAACTTTGGAAAGGGACACACACCATCATAGTCTTCTAGCACATCTTAGAAAGCTGTAGCTTATTTCCCGTCTTCCTTTTGAAAACAACTGCACACAAACCTGCTAAATATGACTGCAATACAACCAGCATTCTGACTGATGACAAAGGTCAGAGGCATTCCCAGACATCGTCACTCCAAACTGGCAGACTCAAATTTCCATCAAAGTAACTACTGGCATTGAACTCAACCATGATATTTTCATGACTTGCTCATGCACAGCAGCTAAAAAATAATTACTTCCTCATATTTGTTTAGATTACAAGAGCACTAAGTGTAAGGAGCCCAGTAACAGTGTTAATTAACTCTAGTTAAGTCCAGGCTGAGAACTTCAGCAGAGTCTTAGGGACAAGAAAATCCCAATAACCTCTCCCTCAAATCCAGTAAAACTCTTTTTCCAAGTAAGGTAACAGGAACGATGTTAGTGCTCAGTGCACTATTTAAGCCTAGTTTATTTTATGGATGAGAAATGCTAGAAGACTACTACAAACTCCAACTATGCCACATAAATAAGCAGTTACTGCCTATAATTTACATTATTGACCAGGGAGTCCGGTGAGCAGGACTCCATATGTTTGCAAGCTATACAACACAACTGCCACTTGCCCAGGACGTGCTGAGCCGGAGGGAGGAAGCCAGGATGCTCCTGGCAGGGACGACTCCGAAGCCCTTCAGCTACCGAGTAAGCTCAGCTTGGGGGTTTTGCTATTTGCTTTTGTGGTTTTTCTCCTCTTCTTTTTGTCGTCAACTAAGCTCGTAACGCTTTCCAAGACAGAAACCCTCACAGGTTGCGAGTTAGCCCTGAAGGCCCCTTGCTCCGGAGAGCCCAGCGCAGGACCCAGTCACACTACGGCGGGACAGCCGACCGACCCCGGCGGAAAGGCCACAGCCCAGGGCCCCCCTTTCTCATAGCCCTCCCACACACACCCCCCTAAAGCT